GGATTTGGGTTTGGGTTTAGGTTTAGGTTTGAGTTTAAAGAATAAATTAATTTTAAAATAAAAACTTTTTTTTTTGTGGGGACGGGAATTTCCGCGGGACCCCACGGGGCGAGAAAAATTCTCTGTGAAATTTCACGGAGAGAAAATGGTCCCATCCCCGCCCCGCGAGAAGGAATATTCCTCCCTACCCAGTCCCGTGACGGAGATCCCGCGGAGCCCCACAGGGAGCGGGAGAATTGCCATCCCTAATCAAAACAAACCCCCAATAATTATTCTTACTTTAAGTTTTTACATTATAATAGTACTATTATTATCAGAGGAAAAGGAGGGATGACATTGACCAAGACCAAGACCTTCCATCCGGCTTTTTGTAAATATCTCATTACCTTGGAACAAAGAAACCCATCTCATCATCTCCTACCAATTCCTTGCTCGTTTTCCTCCATAACTCCCACAAATGGAAATGCTTCCCCAACCCATTTTTTCATCCACTTTTGTGTGCATCATCATCATCTTTTCCATCTTGCCCTTTCTCCCACCATCATACAGCGATCCCTTGGATGAGTTCATCGAGTGTAGCCGTTCTACTTCCTTCGAGTGCGGCCGCCTTGGAGCCTTTTACTATCCTTTTTGGAACGACAATACTCCGGTGCATTGTCATCCGCTTGGATTCCGCTTGACAGACTGCGAAAAAGAGGTTCCCACCATAGACTTTGGCCCAGATGGTTCATTCCAACTGCAGCAGAGAAACCCATCAGATTACAACAAATTGACGATTGCTCCAATGAATTTACAGGCACTTATTTGTCCCGAGACAACACATCACGGAACTCTGCTGCCTCCTTTCTTCAAATTCTCTGAAACCAACAAAAACTTCCCTCTGTTCTACGACTGTCCTTCACCTTATTGTGTACCGCCTATTAGGATTGATGTTTGCGGACTCCATAAACCCTTCTTCTCCACGAATGATTCAAAACTTGTGGGGTATGATCATTGCAAGTGCAATTCTGTGGAAGTTAAGGTTAATCAGACGGTTTTCGACAAAGTCCAGAAAGGGGAACTGACATTGGTTGATGCTTTGAAACAAGTTTGGTTTGATGTGGAGTACAACAGTAGTGCGGTTTTCTGTGATCAATGTGAGAGCTTAGGCGGGGAATGCGTAAACAATTCGACTTCAGATCAGTATCTACGAGAAGCATGCACGCATCATCCAGGTATGGATTATCTATGCAAAACCATTTGTTTTTAATTTGGTGTAGTGATTACGGGCTTAGTATTATTCTGTCTTGGCATTCGCATTCAACACACAATTGAGTCTATACTATAGTTTCCTGGAAACTCGCCGCTTGACATTGTTCTGATCTTCTTTGAACAAGTCAACGTAGCTAGCAGCTTTGGTTGACTGGACTTTTAAACTTAACCCATTGGTGCAAAATTGAAATGACAATTTGCCCCCACGCCCATGATCCTCCTCTATAGTTTTTTCACCCGATTTGGTGTCGGCCTAGTAAAATCGGCCGGAGCAGAGATGACTGAGGGAGTAAGTGCTTCTCCCTCTAAGTGAATGAAAGTTGAAAATACAATATTAACCATCAAATAATACGACACATCATAAGATCGAAAACTGATAGGAAAAGATCGAGAGTAGGATTGGAAATGAAGGAAAATACTTGAGTGCAATAGGATACTACACCAATCCCAATCAATAGAGACCTGATAGATCATATAATTTAGAAAAAAACATAGCAAGCTTGTAACTCTTTCTCAGTTTCCTTAAAAATCATAATCCTATTGAATACATTAATCCATTCACTTCATTGCTCCTATGATGAAGAAGAAATCAGAGATTTTATTTCTGGAGTTGAGGATGGAGTAGGTTGAAGAGGGAAGGTTGAGGAACTTGAGGTTGAAGAGAGTAGTTTTTTTTTATAAAGTGCATTAAGCTTCTAATTCAGAACTTGGAAATAAGATGAAGCTCAAAAATGATGCGCCTTAGTTTATATTTATTTATAGTAGTAGATGAAGAATGAAATTGATAAAAAAATATTGTCCCAATACACGGTTGGTGCTTATGGTATTAAGGACATTGATCTTTTTTTGGTTCAAGTTAGGTATTTCTTCTCACTAGGGATTATGCTTCATAGATTGAAAATTCCTCCCAAAAGAAAGATTTATGCTTTGTTCTTGGTCTGCTAAAGCCTCGTTAGCAAAAATATCAGTATGTTGAAGTGTGAATTCTCTAGTTTTCCAGCTTATATAAGGTAACACCGTTTTGAAATGTTCCACTTATTAACTTGGTTGGCTTTGTTGCTGTCTTGATGGGCTTCAATGAAAGTTAAAAACTGACCTCAAGTTCAAACGTTTAAAAAAATCATTTGAGCTCAATATCAGCTATCAAGATTCAAAACACAGAAAGAGAGTGGATTTAAAATAAAATTAATTTATCTATTATATATATATATATATGTATGTATATATATTTATCAGCACAATTTATGTGATGTAAGCAAAAAGAGAAAGAAATTGAAAACATTCTCCATATCCTGAATTGTAGTTAAATGGATATGTTGAAACAATTTATCTGATGAAAGAGAATTATGTTATTGCAGGAAGGACTTATGCCCTCAAAACCAGAATTCTGATTATAGGTATGCATACATGATCTGTACTCTTATGATGCATGATTTGGTTCAAATTGTTTGCCTATTTCTTGTAGCCATAGTATAATCCATGCATTGTTATGTAATTAAACCTTAGTAGTAGATGAATCTAGTAATGCTATAATGGTCTTTTTATGTGGATATTGGTAAAGTTATGTTAATTATAATCATAGTCTAAAAGAGTAGTATTGCTACATATAGTTGGAGTCTAGAGAAGAGTATATACACTTCAATTGACGTTTGAAAATCTTGTACTTTTTAAATAGCTATTGCCACAACAAGCGTTGGAGTACTGCTAGCTTTTATCATTATAGTTGCTTTCAAGAGGAATAATAAGAAGGTAACAAAGAGTGACCGAAAAATTGAGGCTTTCATCAGAAATTTTGAAACTTTGACTCCTAGAAGATACAGTTTTGGGGATGTCAAGAGAATGACCAATTCATATAAAGAAAAACTAGGACGTGGTGGTTATGGAGATGTGTACAAAGGTAATCTACCAGATGGTCGTCTTGTAGCTGTGAAGGTCCTTAATGTATCTAAGGGGAATGGAGAAGAATTTATTAACGAAGTTGCAAGCATTGGTAGAACTTCCCATGTCAATGTTGTTACACTTCTAGGATTTTGTTTGGAGGGTGAAAAGAGAGCTTTGATCTATGAGTTCATGCCAAATGGATCTCTAGAAAAGTTCATCTTCAAGGAAAGCACTTTGGAGGATAATCAGAATTTGGGATGGGAAAAGCTATATAGTATTGCAATTGGAATAGCTCGAGGGCTCGAGTACTTGCATCGTGGATGTAACACAAGGATTTTACATTTGGACATAAAACCTCAAAACATTCTTCTTGATGAAAAATTTTGCCCAAAGATCTCTGATTTCGGACTGTCCAAACTATGCTCTAGAAACGATAGTGTTGTGTCAACGTTGGGGCCCAGAGGAACACCTGGGTATATAGCTCCAGAAGTTTTTTTTCGTAACTTTGGAGCTGTTTCACATAAATCAGACATCTACAGCTATGGAATGATGGTTCTTGAAATGGTTGGAGGAAAGAAGAGCCTCCAAACAGGGGTAAGTGCTAGCAGTGAGTATTTTCCTGATTGGATTTATAGGCATCTGGAATTGGTTGATGAACTTAGACTGCAAGGTTTGAAGTCCAAAGTGGAAACTGATACCGAAAGGAAGATGACATTGGTGGGGCTGTGGTGCATACAAATAAAACCTTCAAACAGGCCATCGATAGAAAAGGTGATTGAGATGTTGGAAGGAAGTGTGGAAGCTTTGCCAATTCCACCCAAGCCTGTTCTTTCTTCTCCCCCAAGACCTCTACCTGATTCTTCCGCCACATCTGGTTGTGATACTATATCACTACTAGATTAATTTGCAGACTAGGTTTATCTTTTATGTCTATCTAAAGGAATTTGTACTGATTGTTAAGACTATAAATCTGTGACGGTACAAGGGTCATGACTAGTTCATGTTAGGTTGATATGTTAGTTTTCCTTGTGTTTGGTTTAAGTGAGCTATTGGCCCACGTCATTAGGATTCCATGATAATGCAGTAAATATTCATGGTGAGGTCTTGACTCATTGAAAGATGAAAGCGTGATTATTGGAAGATTTTTCTGTCAAAATTCATTTTTCGTCAATGCAACATAATTGCTTATGCATGGCAAGGATTTGTCATTAGTTTTTTTTTTTTTCTCCTCTCTCTCTCTCTCTCTCTGATGCCTTGATTCGTGTCTGGAGAGTCTAGACAGATGATTTTTCTATTTCTTTCAGTGACATGATAAACCCTTCATTGTCTGATTAATAATGGTAAAATCTTAGCCTTAGGAGAGGGTTGCTTTGGCACAGGACTACTCAAATTGGAAGAATTCATTTCATTTATCATCCCTTGAGTTCAGATCCTCCTTTTGTTATCAATTGTTATTGCCAAGGGAACTAGAGTATTGTTTACCTATTTCATGGTATATGTTATCAAGAGGAAGAAGTTACCAATTATTTCAAGAAGAAAACCTTGGGATGGAAACAAAGGTCGTACCAAATTGCAGTTAGAATAGCTTGAGGGCTCCAGTACCAGCACCATGGATGCAACACAATGATTCTACATTTGGACATAGAACCTTGCAGCATTTTCCTTCAGGAAGACTTTGAACTATCAAAACTATGCTAATAAATTTAATAACGCCGATGAAAGAAATAGTTTTGAAATAGTTGCATTACAAGCATAGGAGAACAGAGAGAGACTCTTACCTAGCTTAGGAAACTGCTAATACATTTAAGAAAGTTGATGAATGAAATAAATTATTTTGTTTACACTGTAAATTACCAGAACAGACAAACCAGAACACAAAAATCAGGTAAATGAGGTTTATATACCGGGTGACTTGGTATCTCTTAAACCGTATGCACATTCCAATTTGGATAATAAGGTCTAGTCTGGGATGAAATAAATATTACAGACACCATCTTTTGTTGAATATATGGTGGATGTTACAAGTTGTAAACACTATTCATTATATGCCTTCAAATTCTAGCAAAATGAGGTGCCGAAAAAACTCAAATACTGGCATTAGATGTTGAAGAGTTACTAACCCACTTTACAGTAACAGAATCCGGGGAGAGAGTCTGAGGTCCACTCTTCAACAACACATTCTCATTCGCTGAAACGTGCATCTGATCCCCTAGCTTCACTTTATTGTAGTTTCCACTCTGTACTTCCTTTAAATCATCATGGACCTCTCTCATCGTCGGTCTCATGTCCTTCCCACCTTGAAGGCACTTAAATGCCACCGCTGCCACTGAAGTTATCATTGCTTTTATGCTGTAGTCTGATTCAAACCCCAGAGATGGATCTACAAGCTCGTGCAATGCTTGGTTTTGAATCTTGTTGATGGCCATGTTAGACAAGTTAATCTCATGGCGGTGCCTGGTGATGTCAACGGCTGGCTTGGACGATATTAGCTCAATCAAGACAACCCCAAAGCTAAAGACATCACTCTTGTCTGTAAGCTGGTAGCATTCATGATATTCTGGATCAACATAACCAGGAGTCCCCTGTGGAGCAGTAGAAACATGGGTAGCATTTAATGGAAAGAGACGAGAAAGTCCAAAATCCGCAACTCTAACACAAAAGTTCTCATCAAGGAGAATGTTATCGGTTTTCACATCACGGTGGATAATATCAGAAGCATGGAGGTACGTCAATGCATTTGCAGTCTCTATGGCAATCTCCAAACGAGTGGACCATGAAAGTGAACCAGCTATGGCACGTTCACCATGAAGATGGTCAGCAACCGTGCCATTGGAAATGTATTCATATACAAGCAAGAGTTCACGGCTGTGGCGAGAGGTGTAGCCATAAAGTGAGACAAGATTTGGGTGGCGCAACTGTCCTAGGATGTTAATTTCATTCCAGAATTGCTCAAATCTTCTGTAATTGTTTTCATATAAGCGTTTGACTGCAACAAGGCGCCCATCTCGGAGTTTGCCTGGTTTAGGAGGGACGAGGAATAAGATTTTCATCAAAATGTCAACATATCTAACTAGTAATACTGAAAAAGGAAAAGATTTTTTATTGAGTTTTCCCCTCACCATAATATACAGTGCCAAAGCCTCCATCACCAAGCACCCTCGCAGAATCAAATTTATTGGTGGCCCTTTCAAGTTCATTGTAGCTGAAGTGTTGAACTCCAGGGTAGACTCCCATCTCAGAATCAGTCTGTGGTGGTAAAGAGTTGCCTTGTGAAAATGAGTATGATTGAGCATATTTGACAGCTTTCTTCCGCCGTCGGTAGAGGATGAACACAGTGCTCGCTATTAACACAACTCCAACACCACAGCCAATACCTGTAGATAAATTCTGATTGATAAGACATCTGCTTTTGGATACAGCATGAGAAAGAATAGTCATTGTATTAAATTACCTATTCCAAGCTTCAGTCCCAAAGGCCATTTATCTTTGACAGTAAGAACATAAAGCAAAAAATGGTTAGATAATATGGAGAATAATTGCAATTATAGGCTTCATGAAATCTTAGGATGAATAAGGAAAAGGCAAAGAACAGAACACTACATTGAATCACAACAAACTTTCTAGAATCATTTAGGATGAATACCATGCCATGTGGTTAATTGCTTCCCAACAAGCAAAAGTAAATCAATACTTAAAAATCATGAAAGTATTTGCAAAAAAACCAAAAGAAACAAAACACAAGACATCTATCAGGCCAAGAAGCAAGCACAAGGAAAAAAAAAATACAACATTAACAAGCAGAGGAACTAATTAGGCCCTCAATCTACTGAAAATAAGCCTAATAAACTATGTTAGTAATTTGAGGGAAAAAACGACAGTAAAAATTGGAAAGGTGAATTTCCTATGGAATTACCATCATTGCACGTTTTGGAATGAGTCCTATCCTGGCAAAAACAAATGAACTGATCATTACCACTCCACAGCGCCCACCACTGCTCTCACAATTGCTGCAACTATGTGCAGTCCAATTCAGAAGGAAACCCATCCTCAGGATTTCAGAATAGTTTGCTTTCAACAGACTTGTGAAATTACTGGAAGTATCCATATCCATATACACTGGGGCATTAACAAAAGATTGGCATGACCCTAAGTAGTAGTTACTGCTCTCCAAACCTTCTTCATGGAAAACAGCAGAAGAATAACTGGAAGTATTGCTAGCAGCATCTTACTGGATATGTATGGTAATCTGGCTGCTCAGTGCAGTTATATAAGAAGGAAAAATAGACATTATCAGAACTAAGACTGAATGGAGTTCGATCAAAAGTAGCATTTTGCAGAGGAATTGGACACATTTCTTCATAGACTACAACATTGACCACAACAAAGGTATTGTTGGAGTACCATATATCTTTGATGAAATAATTATCATCAGATATGATAAGAACTGGGCTGTTGTTTTTGCAGGTGATCTCAAAGTTTGGGTAGCCACGGAAGGAATCTTGTTCCTGAAAAATCCAAAAAGGATAGCTAATATAAGGGCCATTTCCGCATGATTGAGGCATACAAGCCTGAAATTTAGAGTCGAGGGATAGAGTTTCATAAGCTAAGGAACTCAAAAAGATGATAACCGTACACTTCTGAAGAAAATTTCTCAAGATAGAAAAGCTTTTTGGATCCACATGCTGGTAGAAAGAAATGGAGGAAGCACAATAGAGGGCAGAGAAAAGAAGACAAAATGGAAGGAGGCATTGGGAGGAAAATTCTAGAGTTGGTATGATTTGGTTTTGGTGCCTTCAAATTCCCCATGGTTTTGCTTTGCTTTGTTTTCTGATGGTGGTTGTAGTTTGAAAACAAGAAGAAAGGCAAACGAAAAGTTTGAAGCGAAAGCAAAGACATGTTGACCATATCATTTTTTCATTCTGTTTGAGGATATCATATTCAAAACAATGATGTATTTTTGTTCCCATGCATCCATAATGGAGGCTGTATGGGCCAACAAACAAGAGTACAAGGTATGGGGTGGTGCCTCATAACAACAATTTGAAATGCTTATAGTGAAAAGTGAGAACATGATAAAAATATTTTGCTCCCAGACAAATCATGACAGAAAAACGGAAAACTGAGTTGTTTAAACTCCAAAAATAATGTTGTGGATCCTTATATCAGACTATAAAACCACCCATCCTGATCTAAATCAAAGATTTGCTCTAATGAGCATTGTAGGCAACAAATGAGTGTAATAAGCCTGAACAGAAACCAGAATGACTACAAACAACCAAACAAGAAGCCAATGGCTTTGCAAGTACATGTTTACCCAATTTGACAGGATGTTTCTATGGGAAGAAAACTCAATTACTTAAAATAAGAGGGATAAACTTGGGTGCTCAATTTCTTCATTGAGGAAAACCTTGGACTCCAAAATCAATCCTCTGTCATAATGGTGACATCAGAATGATATAATAATAAAAGAAATAGACTTCCTTTTTAGAATTTGTCAATTGGAAAATCCCAAATAAGAAAATCACCATACCTAACCATAAGGGCATAAGGGAAATAAAGCAGAACATTAGGTGAAAACATTTTATATGATAATATTATTGGATGAACTTGAAAGAGACTTGGTTGAACAGAAAGTGTGGAAAAAAAAGGAAGAGATGTCTTTTGTCACTCCTTTCAATTCCATTCAAAATCAAAGTTAGGAGAAAATGATAGTCCAAGGAATAACAGGCACAGACACAGATAGAT